ATGATTAACAAAAAAATAAGAAATGTGATTTATATATGTAAAGTGTAGCCTATAGGCTAATTTAAGTGATGTTCTACGGTGTTGTAATCTTTTGTATTTTCTACATTTCTTTGTGGAAACCACACACACACACACAAATGTCTGGTTTGCTATACTTGTGGGGACTCTCCATAGGCGTAATGGTTTTTATACTGTACAGACCGTATATTCTATTGCCCTACACCAACCCTACCCCTAAACCTACCCCTCACAGGAGACTTTGTGCATTTTTAGATTTTCAAAAAATATAATTCTGTATGATTTATAAGCTTTTGGACCCGTGGGGACCACAATTTAGGTCCCCACCGTGACACGAGTCCCCACGAGTCGGTGTGTATTCAGGTTTAAGTCCCCACCAGGATAGAAAAACAGGTACACACACACACTTTTCAAACAGCATCCCAAGCTTGTAACGCACATGATATCAGTCACAGCATATCCTCTATGACTACTAAAAACTACAAATCCTATATAATTTTATTTCAAATAAAAGGAAAATAAAGTGAGTTGAATCTAAGCAGCTCTAAAAGATTTTAGAATAGTTCTCTGCGTCCTTCTGAAGGCGCTCCGCCTGTGTTTGCGGTGTTGCTTTATTAATTAATTAAATGTCAGTAATGATCAATACTGCACAAATTATAGCGATCATGAAGGTCCTTATTCTGTCCCAAATATGTACAGTAAAGTGGATATACAGTAAACAACACCCCATCAGTTATATTCAGGTCTATAGTGCCACCTGTTAGCGCAGTTTTGTAACTTAGAGAACAACTTTTGTTAGCAAAGAAAGAAAATTTTAAGTCGTGATAACCAGAAAAAAAAAAAAAAGACAAAAAAAAAAAGTATACTGTTCTCTTAGGACTTCTGTATTTAAAAGTAAGTACTTCTGTACTTTTACTTAAGTAAAAATCTGTCTTTACAACTTTTACTTGTAATGGAATATTTGACCAGCAGTATCTGTACTTTCACTCAAGTAAGAGTTGAGTACTTTGTCCGCCTCTGGTTACTGTCTGCATTTGATGTTAGAGCTTGTTGAGAGAACAAGAATGTATTGGAAACATATACCGCCTACCTGACTCTGCCTGAGAGGTAAGGAAATATACACTTACCTGAGACCATATTTTTATATATCTATGAAATATATGATTTTATTCTTGAAAACAATCTTTTATTGTATTATCGAATAAGGTATTATATAATTATCAAATAAAGAGACAATTAACAACCACAATATGGACCATTGTAAGTGATTTCCTTCTCACATTGCTGATTTCATCATTAACTCTTCACCTGAACAGTTTGTGTTGTTGGATATGCTATCATTGTAATCCTTGAGCATCAACACATAGGGGTAGACCTCACCTTTTCGGTGTTGTCATGTTTGGTTCAGGAGATATGACAAAATACATCATTTGGTTATGGCGGAAAGTAAAATGGTTGCCATGGTAACCACGAGGTGTTTTTGCAATGGCTCCATTTCTGACAAGGGTCAGGGCCACAAACTATACAAGTGTACCAACTTTCATGCTTTTATGAAAAAGTGTTTTTTTTTTGCCACACATCATCTGGACTATATTGACTTTTTGTAATAAGGACACCGTAAAATAAACATTTCAAACGAGGGAGAACACAACAAAATCTGATTTTGAAGGAGGAAATTAAAAAGTACCGTCCAACAGAACAGTCTTGTTTGCTTCTACCATTTTGCCGTCATGCTGCCAATAGTTTCCGTTTCTCACTGGAGTTAATATTGTAAATTGTTGCAATTTCAAACCATTTTATTTTGCTCAAATATTCCAGCAACAACCAGTGTAAATAATTCTAGGCTTAAGGAGTGCATAAGGACGTTTAGACAAATCAGTTCAATTGCTAACGATGAAAGCTCTGAAGCACAGGGACACAATGTTTCAGCTCAACAGGCTATAGAAGGGTAATCAAATCGAAGGCTGTACTAAAGATTGAATACTTAAGCATCTACCTGCATTATAATGATTGATGGACTCCGGATTCTCAAACACCGTGGTCTCCAGAGGGGCAGCAGAGAGGAAAGATGCTTCTGCTGGAGCACAATATACAGAGCTGAATGTGAGGGGAAAGCAGCAGCAGTCTTCATATATGGTCTTTATCTACTCATATTTCGGGAAAGAAAACAGCATCAACACTGAAAACCAATTCAATGTTTATTTAACTAAAACACTTAAATATTCAAAAACCCATTTAAAAAACAGATCAATCACACTGCAAGTGATGTATTAAACTTTTTGTAAAAAAACAAAAAAGGAACTAGAAATCAAAGACAAATCAGGATGATCCAAAGCACTAACAGAAACAAAAAGCTTCCAGGAAAAATATCAGCAAGAGACCGGAATGACAGACTATACAGCGAGGAAGCATTTTCATAGCCAACCACTCAACTAATAATAATAATTCTTCATTACATTTATATAGCGCTTTTCTAGGCACTCAAAGCGCTTTACATTGTCTCCTCGTCCACCAGCAGTGTGCAGCATCCACCTGGAGGATGCGACGGCAGCCATAGTGCGCCAGAACGCCCACCACACACCAGCTTACTGGTGGAGACGACAGAGAGATGAAGCCAATAGACCGTATATTCTATTGCCCTACACCAACCCTACCCCTAAACCTACCCCTCACAGGAGACTTTGTGCATTTTTAGATTTTCAAAAAATATAATTCTGTATGATTTATAAGCTTTTGGACCCGTGGGGACCACAATTTAGGTCCCCACCGTGACACGAGTCCCCACGAGTCGGTGTGTATTCAGGTTTAAGTCCCCACCAGGATAGAAAAACAGGTACACACACACACTTTTCAAACAGCATCCCAAGCTTGTAACGCACATGATATCAGTCACAGCATATCCTCTATGACTACTAAAAACTACAAATCCTATATAATTTTATTTCAAATAAAAGGAAAATAAAGTGAGTTGAATCTAAGCAGCTCTAAAAGATTTTAGAATAGTTCTCTGCGTCCTTCTGAAGGCGCTCCGCCTGTGTTTGCGGTGTTGCTTTATTAATTAATTAAATGTCAGTAATGATCAATACTGCACAAATTATAGCGATCATGAAGGTCCTTATTCTGTCCCAAATATGTACAGTAAAGTGGATATACAGTAAACAACACCCCATCAGTTATATTCAGGTCTATAGTGCCACCTGTTAGCGCAGTTTTGTAACTTAGAGAACAACTTTTGTTAGCAAAGAAAGAAAATTTTAAGTCGGGAAAACCAGAAAAAAAAAAAAAGACAAAAAAAAAAGTATACTGTTCTCTTAGGACTTCTGTATTTAAAAGTAAGTACTTCTGTACTTTTACTTAAGTAAAAATCTGTCTTTACAACTTTTACTTGTAATGGAATAATATTTGACCAGCAGTATCTGTACTTTCACTCAAGTAAGAGTTGAGTACTTTGTCCGCCTCTGGTTACTGTCTGCATTTGATGTTAGAGCTTGTTGAGAGAACAAGAATGTATTGGAAACATATACCGCCTACCTGACTCTGCCTGAGAGGTAAGGAAATATACACTTACCTGGAGACCATATTTTTATATATCTATGAAATATATGATTTTATTCTTGAAAACAATCTTTTATTGTATTATCGAATAAGGTATTAGATAATTATCAAATAAAGAGACAATTAACAACCACAATATGGACCATTGTAAGTGATTTCCTTCTCACATTGCTGATTTCATCATTAACTCTTCACCTGAACAGTTTGTGTTGTTGGATATGCTATCATTGTAATCCTTGAGCATCAACACATAGGGGTAGACCTCACCTTTTCGGTGTTGTCATGTTTGGTTCAGGAGATATGACAAAATACGTCATTTGGTTATGGCGGAAAGTAAAATGGTTGCCATGGTAACCACGAGGTGTTTTTGCAATGGCTCCATTTCTGACAATGGTCAGGGCCACAAACTATACAAGTGTACCAACTTTCATGCTTTTATGAAAAAGTGTTTTTTTTTTGCCACACATCATCTGGACTATATTGACTTTTTGTAATAAGGACACCGTAAAATAAACATTTCAAACGAGGGAGAACACAACAAAATCTGATTTTGAAGGAGGAAATTAAAAAGTACCGTCCAACAGAACAGTCTTGTTTGCTTCTACCATTTTGCCGTCATGCTGCCAATTGTTTCAGTTTCTCACTGGAGTTAATATTGTAAATTGTTGCAATTTCAAACCATTTTATTTTGCTCAAATATTCCAGCAACAACCAGTGTAAATAATTCTAGGCTTAAGGAGTGCATAAGGACGTTTAGACAAATCAGTTCAATTGCTAACGATGAAAGCTCTGAAGCACAGGGACACAATGTTTCAGCTCAACAGGCTATAGAAGGGTAATCAAATCGAAGGCTGTACTAAAGATTGAATACTTTAAGCATCTACCTGCATTATAATGATTGATGGACTCCGGATTCTCAAACACCGTGGTCTCCAGAGGGGCAGCAGAGAGGAAAGATGCTTCTGCTGGAGCACAATATACAGAGCTGAATGTGAGGGGAAAGCAGCAGCAGTCTTCATATATGGTCTTTATCTACTCATATTTCGGGAAAGAAAACAGCATCAACACTGAAAACCAATTCAATGTTTATTTAACTAAAACACTTAAATATTCAAAAACCCATTTAAAAAACAGATCAATCACACTGCAAGTGATGTATTAAACTTTTTGTAAAAAAACAAAAAAGGAACTAGAAATCAAAGACAAATCAGGATGATCCAAAGCACTAACAGAAACAAAAAGCTTCCAGGAAAAATATCAGCAAGAGACCGGAATGACAGACTATACAGCGAGGAAGCATTTTCATAGCCAACCACTCAACTAATAATAATAATTCTTCATTACATTTATATAGCGCTTTTCTAGGCACTCAAAGCGCTTTACATTGTCTCCTCGTCCACCAGCAGTGTGCAGCATCCACCTGGAGGATGCGACGGCAGCCATAGTGCGCCAGAACGCCCACCACACACCAGCTTACTGGTGGAGACGACAGAGAGATGAAGCCAATAGATAGATGTAACTACCACATCTTGTTTACTACAAAAAGCCAGCTGCAAAAATAGGTAGGCATTCTATCGAATTTAGGTTATAACTTGCTACAGCCTCCTTGAACCTCACACTAAAAGCAAAAACACAGAGCCTTTTAAAGACGCCCCATACCAAAGCAATCAACTACAACCAATGGCCTGAGCGACGCTTACACAAGCACAAAACATTATAACTAATGACAAAAAGGAAAACTAATTCTAATTTGACACGTCTGATGTGTGTGTGTGGGGGGGGGGGGACCTCGACCTCTGGTATGCAATTGTTTTCATGCAATGTTGAAAACAGCACAGTAATCAATATTACACTGGGCTGCAGCCTCGTCAAGCATTTGGTGAATGTTCATAGGCTGTGAATGATCGATTAACGCTGATCTGTGCATGACGCATTCCTGCTGTGCAAAGCAATCGGCGAGATACTAGTCTTGAGAGGCAGACCGAGAGCGAGAACGAGACTTTGAACGTGAAGGAGAGTGAGATGCAGACCGCTTGCCGGGCGACTCCGACTGATGGCGGTTCTCTTCAGGGGACGGTGAACGGGAAGTGGACGTGGCTCGCTCTCCATTTCCATTCTCCCTTAGAGAAGCAGAGCGGCTTCGGGACTTCTTACTGACCGACTTCTCCTTAGAGCGGCTCCTGGAATCCCTCTCCGACTTGGTTTTGGAGCGGCTCTTGGAGCGAGAGCGGGATTTGTGGCTGGTGGAGCGACTGCGTGACTTCTGCGTACGTGAGCGGGAACGAGACTTTGACTTCCTGGAGCGGGACTTTGTCGGGGACTTCGAGTGAGACTTTCTCCTAGACCTGGAACGAGAGCGGTGCTTGCTGCGGGACCTTGACCTGTAAAAAAAACGGACACAAGCTAGTTAGAAAAGCACTCAGAGTCACATTTTAACCACACACACAAAAAAAAGTGGCATCCTACCGAGATCTGGACCTGGACCGGCTTTGTGAACTCCTGCGGCTCCTGCTGCGAGAACGCCGTCTGCTGCGAGACCTAGAAAACAAAATGTCCAATTCAAATGACCTACAGAAACCAAAGACATTAAAAGAAAAAGAAAGAAACAGAGACGTGTGTGCAAAGACCAAGTGAGATCAAGCTAAGAACTGAAGGCCTGACCTTGACCTGCTCCCAGAGTAGGAGCGACGTCGTCTCGGCTTGTCCTCCACGAGACGTATTTTTCTTCCGTTGATATCGGTGCCATCCAACTTGTCCAAAGCTCTCTTCATATCAGAGTAGGAGCGAAACTCGACGACACCCTCATTGGTCCGTTCTTTGTGGGCGTCAGCATAGGTCACCTCTCCAGCTTGACGCATGAAGTCCTACGGTCAAGAAAAACAACTAAAGATACAAAAGGTTTCCCAAACTGCATTATGCAATATAAATGGAGACTACAATCCATTCTCATTTAATTGCACTTTCAATATCCTAATTTTTTTGCGGTCACAAAGCACACATGGAACTATGATTCAGTGGCCGCGAAAAGCTCAAAAGTCCAGCAGAAAATTGCACTGGGATTTAATCAGCCACTTAAAGGGATAGTTCACCTTCAGTTGCTGCTCCCCATTGACCCCCCATTGGGGGGGCCATACTACTGAAGTCAATGGGGACCAGCAACTGAAGATGAACTATCCCTTCAAGCAACATCAATTCAATCAAGTCTAAAAAGAACAGTCTTTTACTTCGGGACACCTTTGAAAACGGGCTCACCTTGAGATCCTGCCAGCTGCAGCGACTGGACAGGTTCTCCACTATCAGTCGGTACTCCGTGCGAACCGGAGGTCCATATTTGTCTCTTCTGCTATGGCTCCTGCTGCTATAACCACTACTGCCTTCAGACAAAAGCCAAGAGACAATCAGTACAGAATTAGACGCAATCCAGAAAGCGCACAAGGCAACCTCTTCAGACATCTGCATAAAGCATGATGTTCAGGCATTAGAAAATGCAGTCTTCCTATCCCACCCCACTGAATAATCACACCCAAATAAACATAAGACTTCAGCAACAATCAGTCCCTCCGAAGGGGTCAAAGGTTGCATTGCTGGTCTTCACCCAACAGCTCAAGAACAGCAATGCTCCGAACGTGGATACCGCTCCAGCGACAGGTTTTAACGTGAGCCCCAATTATAAAGACAGCAAACGAGTACACAATACCCTCATGAAAACAAACAGAAGGGAAAAGAAAAAGAAAAATACAAAAATAAAAAGTAACCAGGACTACTTGCATTAGATGCTGACATGTTACCTGTCTACTGACAGAACAGAGACAGCACAAGACACATAGCAAGGGAAGCCCATTGCTCTTTTTAATAAAGAAAAAGTTAAATGATAAACTAGCGGGTAGCTACATAAATTTGTTTGACCAATATTTCGTTCAACATAAAAACCAATGGGTTTCCTCACCATCACCCTGGTCTATTGGCAAAAGGCAGCTGTCATCATGGCTTCCGGTTAGGTCAGCCAAGGGTCAAAGGGCAAAGGTCACACACACATTGTAAGGTGAAAGCCCAGGCCAAACGGGACAGGCAGTCATCTTAGCCTCAACGGACTCGGACTCAGCCCGCACCGGACTCTTTTAAATTGAAACATCAAGGACTTTTGTTAATGTTGAATTCAGATGTAAACACAAAATCGCATCGTCACACGTCATACTGTTTACATGCCAGCGAGGCTTCAGAAAACATCAACTGATTACTAAATCTATCGGCTAATAAAGCGTGGAAACAGCCCACAACCTGACATGTAAACATCTTTAGTCACTCTCCCTGGCTTTTGAAGAGTGCTCAAGTTATACTGCACATTCTCAAGACCCTTGGCGTTTAAAACGGGCCAAAACTACAAAAGCAGAGGCATCTTTTGAGGGATTCCCATTTAACAAGGTCACATCTCAGGACCAATTTCATTAAAGAACATTAGATCCCATCAGCCTTCCGTCCGGACCACAGCTACTGCAGACCTTAACAGAGAAATGTAGTTAGTCACTGGATGCAGGTGCTACTGAGAGGACAGTCCACTGTAAAAAAAAAACAAAACATATTATTCACCTCCACTTTTTCTTCGTGCCTGAGGGAGGGGGGGGAAAAAAGGAGAAAATGTTAGTTGAGATGAAGGAGACTGTACTTACTGCGCCCGCCGCCGCCGCCCCCATAACCCCCACCATATCCATCCCGGTCCCGCCGCGGTCCTCTCGCGTGCTCTACGATCACACGCTCCCCGCACAGATCTTTACCGTTCAGCTCGTACACGGCGTCGTCTGCGTCACGGGTGTCCTCAAACTCCACGAACCCGTACCTGAGAGTAAGCACAAATGTATTTACCAAAGATCTCCAGCATTGCATAAATGACACGCAGATCCGTCCTCTACGACGGCGCAGGCGCTGTACAATAGAGAACGGGTTCTGGAAGCCACACATTTAAGGAAAACATACTTTTAAAATGTGCACTTTTTAGTAATGTAAAAAAAAGTCTGTAAAGTACAATAAATCATCATGTTTTAATAATCTTTTGTTGTGCTAGAAGTACACATATTTCAAATCGCCATTAATTATCTTCTGGGACTCAGCTGGTGTAAAAAAAATGTTTTATTACATAACCTAACATGTATTCATGTGGAAACATCTAAATACACTGGTTCTGTTGAAGTCAAAAGTATTATTCGGTGTGACTGAATCAACCTAATGGAGTTACACCAACAAAAGCTGTTTTTAAAAGTCAAACTGCACATTTTTACTTTTACAGTGTACAGCATGGCTTGCAATGCCAAGGTCATGTTTGACAAGGAACACATGTACTGATAAATCTATGCCTTGAATGCACAGTGAAGTGCTTTGAATAAAGCAAAATGTAAATCTTTAAAAGTTACTCAGAGTTTTATTTTGCATTTAGCGGCGATGAAACTATGTATACAAGCAGAAATTCTGCTGTGTAATTATTTTGTATTTTTTGTATTCTTGCACTTTTGATAATCCAGCCCCTCAATGCCTTCTAAAAAGAAAAGCAAAACAATCTCAGGTTTGTCGGTTTACATGCCAAACAGTCTCTTCATGTCAAAGTTGGCATTTCTTGGCCTTAATAAGCTGCAAAAATGGCCCAAACTTTACAAACTGGCTGTATGACACTATTGGTTCATGTGTTCAAGTCATGTTGAAAAAAAAAAACATATTTACAAGTGTACAGCATGGCTTGCAATGCCAAGGTCATGTTTGACAAGGAACACATGTACTGATAAATCTATGCCTTGAATGCACAGTGAAGTGCTTTGAATAAAGCAAAATGTAAATCTTTAAAAGTTACTCAGAGTTTTATTTTGCATTTAGCGGCGATGAAACTATGTATACAAGCAGAAATTCTGCTGTGTAATTATTTTGTATTTTTTGTATTCTTGCACTTTTGATAATCCAGCCCCTCAATGCCTTCTAAAAAGAAAAGCAAAACAATCTCAGGTTTGTCGGTTTACATGCCAAACAGTCTCTTCATGTCAAAGTTGGCATTTCTTGGCCTTAATAAGCTGCAAAAATGGCCCAAACTTTACAAACTGGCTGTATGACACTATTGGTTCATGTGTTCAAGTCATGTTGAAAAAAAAGATGTCAGATGAATATAAAGCTTACAAAAAGTGTGAACGAGAAAATATGCAGAATACAATAAACGCAGCATCTGTTTTGATGGTACATTTGCTGAAATTATTATTTACAGGATATTATTCATTTTTCATTTACAATAAAACTAGCTAAGTCACATTACAAAATTTGATAGTATCGTACAATTATGATGGAACATAATGACTGAATTTGCAGCACCTTCATAAAAGAAATAAAAGTATAAAAAAGCAAAGACACTCCCAGTGCACTTTCTTTATTCATTATTTTTGAAGAAGTAGAGTTGATCTTGCTTAATTTTTGGTATTGCATTGCTCCGACCATAGAGATTTCGTAAATTCTCGTAAATAAGACCTTGCCAGAAGGACTTGAACACACCACATGACCATGGTGAGCGTGATTTCACCAAGTACAACATGTTCCTGATCAACATCCTTGTTGATCCTGGAACATCATTCCAATCAACCAATCAGAACTGAGAGATAACTTTTCAGGAAATGTCAGTTTTAGACTTACAATCAGGATTAGGTGCTTCTACACCCTTGTCAATCAGCTGTCATTTCCCACTGATTTTAGGAATAAATTGTGGGTAGGGTTAGGTTTAGGGGTAGGGATTGGGTTAAGTCTGTATTTTTGGACCATAATGTTGATTCAGGATCATCAAAAGATGTTGATCCAGGAACATGTCTTAGGGTGTTTTCACACATGGCCTGTTGTTTCGGAACCTGGCGAGTTTCCTCCCTTAGCACGGTTCGTTTGGGCATATGTGAACACGGCAATCGCACTCGGATCCGCGCCAAAACAATCGGTCCGAGATCGCCTGAACGAGGTGGTCTCGGCTCGATTGAAAACGAACTCTGGTGCGGTTCGGTTGTAGTGAGAAAGCAATCCGATCCAACGGACCAACGAACCAGGCTATATCCCAATGTATAATGGCTAATTACGTAAGTTCCGTGAAAAGCATTAGCTTTGTTGTTTTGCTAATACCTCAAAATGAACCTGTGAATGTCTGTGGGAGAGCACGTCTTTGCCATTCAAAAATTAAAGCGCACTTTTTTGTTTTATAATGCCGTCTTATTGCTCTTCTTTGTAGTATGTGCATTTTAAAAATGTTTTCCCAATCAATCCTGGACTCCTGCTCAAAATGATAAATTATTATTAACGACAGCTACAAAAAACCCAACAATAAGCCCGCAAAGCTGATATTGTTCCATTCTGACAGATGACAGCTGTGACAGCTCAGTGGAATCCCGGAAAATAAACCGTGGAACTTTGAGCAATGAGAGAACAGTTTACTCGCGCGTGACTTGTATTAACAAATTTGGTCTGTTTAGAAACTTTGCTGTGTGAAGCGAACCGCACCAAGAATAAAAAGCAACATTGTAATCATTTGAATCCCTGTTTCGGAACAAAGCAATCGATCTACAGGTGTGAAAACACCCTTACTTGGCAAAATCACGGCGACCACATGACCAGACTAACAAGAGAATCCTCAAAACTCCTCAAAGGCACACAGTAGTTGACAGGCAGCTCAGCGACGCTCAGTGTTGTGGCACTCCAACCAGCACTTGTTAACAGTGTTGTAGTTGAGACAAGCTCATTCTGAGTAGGTCGTGTCTGAGTCAAAAAGAGGACGATTCAGAGCCAATCATATACACCAGTCAGCACAGACCATAAAATGTATCTGTAGTGACTGGACAAGACCAAGACCATGAAAATACTGTCCCAAAGTACTGGACAATATGTGCTTTTTCAGAAGATGAGAAGAGTTGTTCCCTTTAAATGCATACCAGTCCATATAATCACATCTCAGTACACATCAGAATATTGGCAGCATGCTGCATAACAAAATGCGACATGGCAGTGATTCCACTGGCCAAGCCTTCTCGTCTCTTTCACTGGTGAGAACAAAGCCTTTCATCCCTGCAGCACACCCACTGCGGCTTTGATCTCGCCTCTTGAGCCTGCACTTGAGAAACAGAGCCAAAGCCCTCGTTCGAAAAGACAGAGATAAACAGATACTGTACAGCTGAAGAGAGGACAAGAGAGAGCATCAGCTGTGCAGCAAATGCATGAATGTTTGGGCCACATTTACGTATTACGGTCCAAACAGACAGCAATGCAGAGCTGAATGGTCACACAGATTGTTTAGGGTTGAAGAGGGAATCTATCTGCACAGATGTAGCCCACACTAGCTAATCATTGACTTGTTAGCCACTCGTTCTCCCAATTGTGGAGTATTAAGAGCCCTTCCTCCACACTGTGGTGGTTAGCAGCAGGCCACTGAAGGGTCTTTTAATGCTGTAGCTGTGTGTAGTTCACTGGACATGACTCGTCAGCTGCTGAAGCAACATTTACTGGCCATGAACTGTAATTTCCACTGACATGCACATGTCTCAGATTGATTATCTTGTAATGATCTGTGTATGTAATAGAGTGCTGCAGGGGTGATGTATTGTTGTAGGCCAAAACCCACAAACGGTTTTGCGTTTTAGCACTTCCGGTGCCCTCGTGCTGAGGTCAAGGACATTAAACATCATCACGCCAAACAGGTAAAGTCACCTACTCACTAGTCGCTTTCACAGCCTCATTGTGTTAATAGTTGGTAACGTTGAAGTCATGTGACCCATAGTGTAGTTCATTTATAGCAGGGTTCCTCAAATCTTGTCCTGGAGGGCCAATGCGCTGCAGAGTTTAGCGTCAACCCTGATCAAACTCACCTATCTGTGATTTTCGAATGATCCTGAAGACATTGATTGAAAACACCCTTACTTGGCAAAATCACGGCGACCACATGACCAGACTAACAAGAGAATCCTCAAAACTCCTCAAAGGCACACAGTAGTTGACAGGCAGCTCAGCGACGCTCAGTGTTGTGGCACTCCAACCAGCACTTGTTAACAGTGTTGTAGTTGAGACAAGCTCATTCTGAGTAGGTCGTGTCTGAGTCAAAAAGAGGACGATTCAGAGCCAATCATATACACCAGTCAGCACAGACCATAAAATGTATCTGTAGTGACTGGACAAGACCAAGACCATGAAAATACTGTCCCAAAGTACTGGACAATATGTGCTTTTTCAGAAGATGAGAAGAGTTGTTCCCTTTAAATGCATACCAGTCCATATAATCACATCTCAGTACACATCAGAATATTGGCAGCATGCTGCATAACAAAATGCGACATGGCAGTGATTCCACTGGCCAAGCCTTCTCGTCTCTTTCACTGGTGAGAACAAAGCCTTTCATCCCTGCAGCACACCCACTGCGGCTTTGATCTCGCCTCTTGAGCCTGCACTTGAGAAACAGAGCCAAAGCCCTCGTTCGAAAAGACAGAGATAAACAGATACTGTACAGCTGAAGAGAGGACAAGAGAGAGCATCAGCTGTGCAGCAAATGCATGAATGTTTGGGCCACATTTACGTATTACGGTCCAAACAGACAGCAATGCAGAGCTGAATGGTCACACAGATTGTTTAGGGTTGAAGAGGGAATCTATCTGCACAGATGTAGCCCACACTAGCTAATCATTGACTTGTTAGCCACTCGTTCTCCCAATTGTGGAGTATTAAGAGCCCTTCCTCCACACTGTGGTGGTTAGCAGCAGGCCACTGAAGGGTCTTTTAATGCTGTAGCTGTGTGTAGTTCACTGGACATGACTCGTCAGCTGCTGAAGCAACATTTACTGGCCATGAACTGTAATTTCCACTGACATGCACATGTCTCAGATTGATTATCTTGTAATGATCTGTGTATGTAATAGAGTGCTGCAGGGGTGATGTATTGTTGTAGGCCAAAACCCACAA